GATCTGTCAATATGACTGAATCGGATTCAAAACATTAGATTCACTTTTGGATGAAAACTTCGTTTTACCACTGCATGATTTGCTGCTGTTTATTGGAATACAAGAAAAGTGATTATATTTCCAAGACACAGAAACGAAACCTTTGCGGATTCATCGTAAACTTTCGTATCCTTCTTCTTCTTAACGATTCCTTTCGTTTGGGCGTACTGTTCCCATTTTGTCAGTTCTCTCTTTTCCGGTAGTACTTTCTCACGAGGAAGCTTGAGTATAGGACGTGGAAGCTGTAAGAACAAAAACAATAACCACAGCAACCGAACCACTTCGAGCATTAAGCTTCTCCTACGAAAATGTGAGAAACGAGAACGAAAGATTTAAGATTCTGCATGAGTGTGTGATTAACGATAAGATATTATTTTATCAGTTTTGCTCTTGTTCAATTGCTGAACTCATCTCAAGATCGAGTGTTACGACTCAGCCGGCACCATAAAAATTACGTGCGATAAAAATCACAACCAGAACCTTAGCGCATATAGCTTCGTCGACTTTCTCACGTTCCAATTCCCAAATTTTATTGAACAAGTATTGAGTGTTATCACGTGCTGTTGTGAGCAATTCCTCTTCGCTGGGAATTCTGAAGAATAAAAGATTAACAATTATCTAGACATTATAATGTGAAGACTCCGGAACTCCGGATATGTAAATAACGTTGAAAAGATGGGAATGTGCATTACAGAACGTTTAATTTTCTAACAATAGGCGTTCAGAGTAATCGTTCATCGCTAGGAACGAAAGCTAGACATCGGTCAAGTGAGGAAATTATGTTGATAACAATACGGAGCAAACGAATCGTATTTCATTTTTTATCGATGAGCAACGATCCTATCAACACCGATAGAACATGATGAACAAGTGAAGCTCACCTATCACGTGAATCATCTGGTGGAGGATCGTGGTCTGTCAGCAACAAATTACCGAGATCCACTAATGGATCAACCAATTTTTTAACATCCGTTGGACGGTAGACAGGAGGTTCGCTGGTATCCATAACGCTAGAAAAAACACTGAAATTCAAAATACTGATTGATCAGTGGAACCTGAATTACCGAAATAAATAAATACAACACCAAACATCATTTGCTGAAAACAAAATTTTTCGTAAAGATTTTATCAAGGGTGTGGAGCCTATTCGCCAAGTATGTGTTTGACCGAAGCAACGTGGATATGAATGGTCACATTTAAGTCTTACTGACCAATCTTTTGATGCAGTTTTTTTCAGAGCCAATTCTCCAGTTCGATCCTTTCTATGTTTTTCGTAGAAGACTGAATCTTGCTCATCGTCACAGTATAACATTAATTCATGTGGCAAGTAACCCTCCCGGATGTTTAATCAAGTTTTGTGAATTTAATTAATCTTGATAATACATAGCAAACGTTATGAATATAGGTAGGGATGCGCAGCAAATTATTGAAATATAAGCCGTTTCATGGATTATTCTCCATTACTAGTAGGTCATCTGTTTCGGAAATATTTGGGTTGATGAAAAGCATTAATATTTGTCAGCGTTTATAAATGAAAATAACAATTAGATCTGTCAGTGGATGTATTCGTCTATTTTCAGTTCACGAACGATGTCCGTTGAAATCACTGGACCACCGCTGGCTCTTCCCTCACAGTTGCTCGAATCCGAAAAGGTACCCAAAGATAAGTTGGTGGTTCCAGGTGCCAATGTCAGTTCGTCACATAATTTCATGAGGTTTTCGTTTCATTTCTTTTAATTTCTTCGCTTCCATCTTAATGATCACGTAATTTTTGATGCATTTGCTATTGAAATTCCAATCTGGATGCATTTTGAACACTAGAATTATCCATCCAATTATCTATCCCTTTATAGAGGTCATGGAACTTACTTGAATGGCGATGAACTGACAGCATCTGTAGCCGGAGTTGTCGAGCAAGTGAACAAGTTAATCACCGTCAAGCCGATTAAAAGCAGGTGATTTAAGTTTGCTTATTCCAACATTCATTTGAAACTGTTTCTTTGAAACGGGAAAACTAAGGTTGTTGAAAACGAGTGGTTTCTGAAAAACTGAAAGTCAATTGAAAGCCTCGATCTCGCCTCTTGAATAGTGAAAGCAGGAGTTATCCGCTTGACATATGTAAGAAGACGAACGTTACTTACTCCTCTCCTAAGCTGATGCTTCCAGATACAATGGTGAGATAGGTGACGTTGTTGTGGGTCGTATCACAGAAGTTCAACAGAAGCGTTGGAAAGTGGAAACAAACTCACGTCTAGACTCTACTTTAATGCTTTCAAGTGTTAATTTACCTGGAGGTGAATTGGTATGTGGAATGCTTCTTGCATTTTAATCGTTGTTCAATTTTTGACTGATCATTCAGAAGAACAACCCGAGTCGAGTCTAACCGGATTCATTTTTCTTTCAAAGACTAGAGTGGATGAGATCTGACTTATTATCAGCGTCAAATTTATATTATTTTGGATTTTTTCAATATTAAAATGAGAGCGCTTTCGTTGCAGAGGCGTAAATCAGTTGAGGATGAGTTAATGATGCGTGAATATCTGAAAGAAGGCGATCTTATCAGTGTGAGTGTCATTATCATGATCGTTATTATTGTTAAAATCACTGTCGTATTTTTCGAATTTTGTTATTTTTATTATTGTTGCCATGCTTTGATACTATATGATTATGTGCATTTTCAACAATTCAGGCCGAAGTGCAAAAGGTACAGTCTGACGGTCAATTGCAACTGCATACAAGGAATTTAAAGTATGGAAAGGTTTGTTGTGAAGCTTATTATTCTAACTTATTTGTTGTTTTATTGAGGTGAAATTCCTCACTTGGTTATTTGGACAGCTGGAGATTCGTCTCTGTTCCTGTTATTTTGATTAATCTATACAAGTTGTTGTAGTTAGATCAATTTCTCAATGAGATTTCGTGATGGACAATCTCGTACAAGCGTGAATATTTACAGCTCTCTCAAGGAACCTTAGTGAAAGTATCGCCGTATCTGGTGAAACGTCGCAAAACACATTTCCATACACTTCCTTGTGGTGCATCGGTCATTCTTGGATGTAACGGCAATATTTGGATATCGCCTGTGGCTAGTGAAGAACAGACCGCTACAGGCGGATACGCGCAAAACCTGGATGAAGTTTGTCTTGTTTGTTGTTTTCAGAATGTATTCGATTTATCCCTCTTCACTGTTGCTGTTGCACACTGGCAATTGCATTTACTGTTATTATTGTATTTGTAGTGCTCATCGTAGTGAACATTTTCAGGTAGTACCAATGCAAACAAGAGCAGTTATAGCACGTCTCGTGAATTGTGTTAATGTGCTTGCCAAGCATCACATTCCCCTCTACGATACGACTATTTTGTTAGCCTACGAAGTTTCGTCAATATATGAGGTTCGTTCGTGTTCTTTTAGACAGCCTGAATTGATTCGGTCATGTGAAGTAGCTTATGTTTGTTGTCAGTGGACTAGGTAATATGAAATGATATTTAGATCTTGCACGAATGATGAAAAGTTTTCTTTCAGGTCAAGGAACTCTTAAAACCAGTTGTAGCAGCCGAAGTAGCGGCCGAGGTAGCAGATAGACTACAGAAGAAATTGCAAGAATCATGATCGTCGAGATTTTGATTTAGCGAGATTATCCAGTGTTGTGAATCTTTGGTTATAATAGACTCATTCATATTCAGTGTCAAATTGCGATGTTTCACTTCTTTAAATTGTTATTTGCATTGTCATATTGTGGTGTTTCAATTTTTTAAAATGATTTTATAGTTGTTGATCTCGTTTAATTGTTTACTTGATATGGTGATGCCTCAAATCTGAATTTGGAATTGTGCTTTACGAGTCATCCATTCGTTGTCTTGTGAAAATATCGCATGCAACTAATTGTATGTTTCCGATGTAGATGATTTGTTTTGTTCAGTTGTAAATGATATGCAACAAGCATATATTGAGTGATTATTCGTGAATTGTTTATTGTTATTGCGATTAATTGTTATCAATTGTGTTGTTTTCGTTGCTGCTATTCTGATTTCACAATGTATTTTATATATTTATTCGACATCATCGTGCGGTGTTAACGTGATTTTTTCGAATAAATTACAAGTGCTAAAGGATTGTGGTGAGCGATAGTAATTTCTTGCAAATTGCTTTGACAAATCGAATTTTTTAAATCGTGAAACTGCACTGCGCTTGATCTGATGTTGTTGACCGAAAAATCCGTCACTGATCATTGAGTGATTGAAACCGTTGAAGAACAGTGATTAATGAAAATTCGGATGAGAATAAATGGACTGTACAATTGAACAGTTCATCTGAGTTGGATTTCAAAGCATTAAATTGAAATTGGTCATCGAGGAGTAGAGATCAGAGTGCTTCCAGTGATAAACGCTTTTGCTGC